ACACACACACACACACACACACACACACACACACACACACACACACACACACACACACACACACACACACACACACACACACAGTTTTTTAAACCAGTCACAGATTCTTCATTTGAAAATTTAAGTAAAGGTTGTAGAGCTGAGATCAAAGTTTGACCAATGAAATCCTTCATTAAAAATGATGTCATTGCGCTAGGTCACAGCTGGCTGGTTGGTAAAATGGGGACGTTTCTGAAGATGATCTGATGATGACTGTGATGAATACTGCAATGAAGATGATCTGAGGAAGACTGTGATGAAGACTGTGATGAAGATGATATGATTAAGACTGTGATGAAGATGATCTGAGGAAGACTGTGATGAAGACTGTGATGAAGATGATATGATGAAGACTGTGATGAAGATGATTATTATGCTGATCTGTTCTGTACGACATCTATTGCACGTCTGTCCGTCCTGGAAGAGGGATCCCTCCTCAGTTGCTCTTCCTGAGGTTTCTACCGTTTTTTTTTCCCCCGTTAAAGGGTTTTTTGGGGAGTTTTTCCTGATCAGCTGTGAGGGTCATAAGGACAGAGGGATGTCGTATGCTGTAAAGCCCTGTGAGGCAAATTGTGATTTGTGATATTGGGCTTTATAAATAAAAGTGAATTGAATTGAAGTGAATTGAATCTGATGAATACTGTGATGAAGATGATCTGATGAAGACTATGATGATGATGATGATCTGATGAATACTGTGATGAAGATGATCTGATGAAGACTGTGATGATGATGATGATGATCTGATGAATACTGTGATGAAGATGATCTGATGAAGACTGTGATGAAGATGATCTGATGAAGACTGTGATGATGATGATCTGATGAATACTGCAATGAAGATGATCTGATAAAGACTCTGATGAAGATGATCTTATGAAGACTGTGATGAAGGTCAGTGACTGTTGTTCCGCTTTGTTCTTGTTTTGTCTGTCTGTTTTGTGTAGGAACACTGAGAACAATGAAAAACTGAATTCAATATCTTGAAAGTGCAAAAATACTGAACTCATGAAGCTGAATCTGATGAAGATGATGAAGAAGAAGAGTATGAATAACAAACAAGCACAAAAACATGACTGTTTCAGTGCCTCAGGTAAAAGACACTAATAAAGTGAGACCAGAACAAGAACTAACCTTAAATCAACATAGATAACCCACCACTGACCAAACACTGACCCACACTGACCTAAGATCAAACTAGATAACCCACCACTGACCAAACACTGACCCACACTGACCTAAGATCAAACTAGATAACCCACCGCTAACCAAACACTGACCCACACTGACCTAAACTCAACCTAGATAACCCACCACTGACCAAACACTGACCAAACACTGACCCATCCTGACCTAAGATCAAACTAGATAACCCACCGCTAACCAAACACTGACCCATCCTGACCTAAAATCAACCTAGATAACCCACCACTGACCAAACACTGACCAAACACTGACCCATACTGACCTAAGATCAAACTAGATAACCCACCGCTAACCAAACACTGACCCACACTGACCTAAACTCAACCTAGATAACCCACCACTGACCAAACACTGACCAAACACTGACCCATCCTGACCTAAGATCAAACTAGATAACCCACCGCTAACCAAACACTGACCCATCCTGACCTAAAATCAACCTAGATAACCCACCACTGACCAAACACTGACCAAACACTGACCCATACTGACCTAAGATCAAACTAGATAACCCACCGCTAACCAAACACTGACCCACACTGACCTAAACTCAACCTAGATAACCCACCACTGACCAAACACTGACCAAACACTGACCCATCCTGACCTAAGATCAAACTAGATAACCCACCGCTAACCAAACACTGACCCATCCTGACCTAAAATCAACCTAGATAACCCACCACTGACCAAACACTGACCAAACACTGACCCATACTGACCTAAGATCAAACTAGATAACCCACCGCTAACCAAACACTGACCCACACTGACCTAAACTCAACCTAGATAACCCACCACTGACCAAACACTGACCAAACACTGACCCATCCTGACCTAAGATCAAACTAGATAACCCACCGCTAACCAAACACTGACCCATCCTGACCTAAAATCAACCTAGATAACCCACCACTGACCAAACACTGACCAAACACTGACCCATACTGACCTAAGATCAAACTAGATAACCCACCGCTAACCAAACACTGACCCACACTGACCTAAACTCAACCTAGATAACCCACCACTGACCAAACACTGACCAAACACTGACCCATCCTGACCTAAGATCAAACTAGATAACCCACCGCTAACCAAACACTGACCCATCCTGACCTAAAATCAACCTAGATAACCCACCACTGACCAAACACTGACCAAACACTGACCCATACTGACCTAAGATCAAACTAGATAACCCACCGCTAACCAAACACTGACCCACACTGACCTAAACTCAACCTAGATAACCCACCACTGACCAAACACTGACCAAACACTGACCCATCCTGACCTAAGATCAAACTAGATAACCCACCGCTAACCAAACACTGACCCATCCTGACCTAAAATCAACCTAGATAACCCACCACTGACCAAACACTGACCAAACACTGACCCATACTGACCTAAGATCAAACTAGATAACCCACCGCTAACCAAACACTGACCCACACTGACCTAAACTCAACCTAGATAACCCACCACTGACCAAACACTGACCAAACACTGACCCATCCTGACCTAAGATCAAACTAGATAACCCACCGCTAACCAAACACTGACCCATCCTGACCTAAAATCAACCTAGATAACCCACCACTGACCAAACACTGACCAAACACTGACCCATACTGACCTAAGATCAAACTAGATAACCCACCGCTAACCAAACACTGACCCACACTGACCTAAACTCAACCTAGATAACCCACCACTGACCAAACACTGACCAAACACTGACCCATCCTGACCTAAGATCAAACTAGATAACCCACCGCTAACCAAACACTGACCCATCCTGACCTAAAATCAACCTAGATAACCCACCACTGACCAAACACTGACCAAACACTGACCCATACTGACCTAAGATCAAACTAGATAACCCACCGCTAACCAAACACTGACCCACACTGACCTAAACTCAACCTAGATAACCCACCACTGACCAAACACTGACCAAACACTGACCCATCCTGACCTAAGATCAAACTAGATAACCCACCGCTAACCAAACACTGACCCATCCTGACCTAAAATCAACCTAGATAACCCACCACTGACCAAACACTGACCAAACACTGACCCATACTGACCTAAGATCAAACTAGATAACCCACCGCTAACCAAACACTGACCCACACTGACCTAAACTCAACCTAGATAACCCACCACTGACCAAACACTGACCAAACACTGACCCATCCTGACCTAAGATCAAACTAGATAACCCACCGCTAACCAAACACTGACCCATCCTGACCTAAAATCAACCTAGATAACCCACCACTGACCAAACACTGACCAAACACTGACCCATACTGACCTAAGATCAAACTAGATAACCCACCGCTAACCAAACACTGACCCACACTGACCTAAACTCAACCTAGATAACCCACCACTGACCAAACACTGACCAAACACTGACCCATCCTGACCTAAGATCAAACTAGATAACCCACCGCTAACCAAACACTGACCCATCCTGACCTAAAATCAACCTAGATAACCCACCACTGACCAAACACTGACCAAACACTGACCCATACTGACCTAAGATCAAACTAGATAACCCACCGCTAACCAAACACTGACCCACACTGACCTAAACTCAACCTAGATAACCCACCACTGACCAAACACTGACCAAACACTGACCCATCCTGACCTAAGATCAAACTAGATAACCCACCGCTAACCAAACACTGACCCATCCTGACCTAAAATCAACCTAGATAACCCACCACTGACCAAACACTGACCAAACACTGACCCATACTGACCTAAGATCAAACTAGATAACCCACCGCTAACCAAACACTGACCCACACTGACCTAAACTCAACCTAGATAACCCACCACTGACCAAACACTGACCAAACACTGACCCATCCTGACCTAAGATCAAACTAGATAACCCACCGCTAACCAAACACTGACCCATCCTGACCTAAAATCAACCTAGATAACCCACCACTGACCAAACACTGACCAAACACTGACCCATACTGACCTAAGATCAAACTAGATAACCCACCGCTAACCAAACACTGACCCACACTGACCTAAACTCAACCTAGATAACCCACCACTGACCAAACACTGACCAAACACTGACCCATCCTGACCTAAGATCAAACTAGATAACCCACCGCTAACCAAACACTGACCCATCCTGACCTAAAATCAACCTAGATAACCCACCACTGACCAAACACTGACCAAACACTGACCCACACTGACCTAAGATCAAACTAGATAACCCACCGCTAACCAAACACTGACCCACACTGACCTAAACTCAACCTAGATAACCCACCACTGACCAAACACTGACCAAACACTGACCCATCCTGACCTAAGATCAAACTAGATAACCCACCGCTAACCAAACACTGACCCATCCTGACCTAAAATCAACCTAGATAACCCACCACTGACCAAACACTGACCAAACACTGACCCACACTGACCTAAGATCAAACTAGATAACCCACCGCTAACCAAACACTGACCCACACTGACCTAAACTCAACCTAGATAACCCACCACTGACCAAACACTGACCAAACACTGACCCATCCTGACCTAAGATCAAACTAGATAACCCACCGCTAACCAAACACTGACCCATCCTGACCTAAAATCAACCTAGATAACCCACCACTGACCAAACACTGACCAAACACTGACCCACACTGACCTAAGATCAAACTAGATAACCCACCGCTAACCAAACACTGACCCACACTGACCTAAACTCAACCTAGATAACCCACCACTGACCAAACACTGACCAAACACTGACCCATCCTGACCTAAGATCAAACTAGATAACCCACCGCTAACCAAACACTGACCCATCCTGACCTAAAATCAACCTAGATAACCCACCACTGACCAAACACTGACCAAACACTGACCCACACTGACCTAAGATCAAACTAGATAACCCACCGCTAACCAAACACTGACCCACACTGACCTAAGATCAAACTAGATAACCCACCGCTAACCAAACACTGACCCACACTGACCTAAACTCAACCTAGATAACCCACCACTGACCAAACACTGACCAAACACTGACCCACACTGACCTAAGATCAAACTAGATAACCCACCGCTAACCAAACACTGACCCACACTGACCTAAGATCAAACTAGATAACCCACCGCTAACCAAACACTGACCCACACTGACCTAAACTCAACCTAGATAACCCACCACTGACCAAACACTGACCAAACACTGACCCACACTGACCTAAGATCAAACTAGATAACCCACCGCTAACAATACACTGACCCATCCTGACCTAAAATCAACATAGATAACCCACCGCTAACCAAACACTGACGCTACTGTTTTTTAAGAAATTTAAAAATATCAGACTGAGTTGCAATAATCCGGTTACACTCAATACAGTTAAGGCCTGGCGATTAGTGTGTCGACTTGAGGGAAGGTCAAAGTTCACATCTGTTTTCACCCCTATTGTGAATAATCCTAATTTCCAGCCTGGGATGGTTGATACTGGTTTTGAACAGTGGAGAGCTAATGGTGTTCATAGACTGAGGGACTTACTCTCTGGTAATGTGGTTATGACATTTGAACAAATGATAGAGAAATATTCTATCCCCAGATGTGACTTCTTTCGATATTTGCAGATAAGGCACTATGTCTTGCACAGTACTACGTTAGTTGAGAACCATGAAAGCTCTCTGGTTGAGAAATTATTATTTTTAACAGATAGAGAGATATCCGTAAGTTTATTGTATAAAGCTATGTATCTCACGACCCCGAATAGGTTGCAGAAGCTTAAAGGCAAATGGGAGAAGGAGCTAAACATCATAATTGATGATGAAGAATGGAAGGATGTCTGGAGACATGCTAAATCAATTTCAGTTTGCAATCATGCCCAAGCAATACAGTTAAAAATTATACACAGAATGCACATATCCCCCAACCGCAGACATTATTTCAATCCTACTTTCTCACCCACGTGCCTTAAATGCAAGATAGAAACTGGTACCCTAACTCATTGTTTTTGGTCATGTCGGAAAATGCAAATGTATTGGTCTAATGTATTATCTGAAATGGAGAAGATATTTGGTATAAAACTGGAGATGGACCCTGTGTCTCTCATACTGGGCCTCCCAAGTCAAAGTTTAACATCAAAACATAATAAAAGGCTGTATTGTATTCTTACTTAAGCAGCGAGGAAGAATATTTTGTTACAATGGATCAATGAAAAGGTACCAAATGTTAAAGGCTGGCAAGGAGTAGTGTTTGATCTAGTGCCATTAGAGTACCTTACATGCATATTACATTTAAAAACAGACCAATTCTATAAAGTCTGGGAACCTTATTTGAACTTTGTAGAGCCTGTGTCTCTAATATAATGTTGCAGGAATTTTCTTGACTGCTCATACCGTACATTTTTACTGTAACCCCAAGTATTATTTATATAGATCTGAGCTGATGGTTTTTTTGTTGTTTTTTTTTTGTTCTGTTTTGTTTGTTTGTCCGCTTGTTTTGCTTTTCATTCCTGTGGACCATATTATGTATCCACCCTTTACTTGTAAAAGTGGAAAAAATTAATAAAAAAATATTGTTTAAAAAAACAAAAACAAAACACTGACCCATCCTGGCCTAAAGTCAAACTAGATAACCCACCACTAACCAAACACTGGCCTACAGTGTCAGACAAACATTTAAACTATAAAAACAAGCTATAACTATTAAACTTAAACAACCAAACACAGAGCGAGTCGACACCACGAGCAACGAGTCTTGTTAACCTGACGGCTTGGGTGTTAGCGGTTAGCTTAGCAGCTACAGCTAGCCTGTGAGGTCACTGGGTCATCCACATGTAGCTCCTCCCATCCAGAACACCTGGGTTCACCTGTGTGACCTCACAGGTGTTTATTTATTGATTTACATCAATTTAAAATGTTTCACCAGAGATTCTGCTGAACTATGACATCATCACTACATCATCACCACACCTCAGACTCACCCAACAGATGATCCTCACGATGGTCTGAGGCTGTCTGATGAAGGTCAGGGGGTCAAAAGCTCCGCCTGCCTTCCCCGCCCCGTAAGCCTGGAAACCGTCCATCAAGACCACTTCCTGTTCCCCTTACCAGACCAGATTTGACCAGTAAGGACCAGCAGGACCAGTTCAGCCTGGCTCAGTCTACCTCAACAGCCCTCCGTCAGCTCCCAGCTCAGTCCACTGAGTCCACTTTAGTCCAGGTCGGTCCAGTTTAGTGCTGTATGTACCAGGTTATTCTCTGTGTCTGACCCGGTCCCAGTTCTCTCCTCCTCCTCTTCCTCCTCTTCTTCTCCTTCTTCTTCTTCTCTGCTGTTACAAACTGTAATCTGCTCTAATCCTCCTCATCCCTCCTCAGAGTCTAACGATTCATCACCCTGAGCCGAGTCTGACAGGCTGTGGGCCGCCTCCATCCAGCTCCACCAATCACATGCTTTTGCTAATGTTGCTGGGACTCGGAGTCGTCCAATCAGACTTTAGGGGGCGGAGTTACAGAGCCTGATAGGCTGTACTCAGGGTGACATACCTCCTTCCTGTCTGTCTTTGTTTATCAGAACTAAAGTTAGAAAAAATAATCATGGACAGATTAATGAAGTCAGAGCCAGGGGCCCCAAGTGTCCAGTGGCCCCAAGTGTCAGTGGCCCCAAGTGTCCAGTGGCCCCAAGTGTCAGTGGCCCCAAGTGTCCAGTGGCCCCAAGTGTCAGTGGCCCCAAGTGTCAGGGGCCCCAAGTGTCAGGGGCCCCAGGGCTCTCACATGCAAAATGTCACATGTCAGAGACAAGAGATACAAAAAGACCTCACAGGGACACAAACAACTACAAGAAGACAAGATCACAGAGATGTCAAACCACTGATTCTGTGTGTGTGTGTGTGTGTGTCTGTGTGTGTCTGTGTCTGTGTGTGTGTGTGTGGGGGGGGGGACGGGGGACTTTAAATATCTAACCCTGGGGGGCCACTGTCTCATGATCCGCCCATGATGATCAGATATTATAAAACACATCAGCTCCATCAGGACCGTGACATCATCAGAGCTGAACTCTGATTGGTGTTCATGAAATCTACCTTAGCATTATGTTAGCCTCATGCTAACGTAGCTGTTCACTGTGTTTAATCAGTAAATTAAACACTAATGATAATTATGTGTTTATGTTAGCTGACAAAGCTAGTGTTAGCATGCTAACTTAACTTTGTTTACACGTCTGATTAAACTGTAGTTTACTAATAAAGTTAAAACTAAAAACATGCAAAATGACCTGTTTGTGTGTGTGTGTGTGTGTGTGTGTGTGTGTGTGTGTGTGTGTGTTAATAGGATCAGTGTGAGCTCCGTCTGTCCGTGTGAAATCACTTCCTGTTTCCTCTTCTCATCGACACATCTAATTATTTACACATTATTAATAATAAACACTGAAGACAAAATGTTTTGAAATTCCATTTTAATCATTGATTTTGTAATTAAACAGACTTTTTTTCAATTATTATTTCAATCATTAAGTTTATTTATCAGATAATCAATTAATAAAATAACAGAATGATTTATAAAGATGTGATCAATGTTTTTGTGATTATTCATTTATTTTAGAAATGCATAAATAATCAAAATGAACTTTAGTTTGATTTGATCAGTTTAATAGAAACAGTGATAACAGAGTGATTATTTTTAATATATTGATTATGTGTGATCTGGTGTGTGAACAGATGATAAATGATAAAGATATTGAACATTATTAAACATGTGATTATTGATTATTGAGTCGATCAGGAACTATTGATCCTGTCAGTGATCTGTGCTCCTGATCACTTATACAGCAGATCAGTGAGACGCCCCTCTGACCTCCACCATGTGACCTGTGTGTGTGTGTGTGTGTGTGTGTGTGTGTGTGTGTGTGTGTGTGTGACTCAGTCATGTGACTCCTCAGCCAGACATTGCTCTTCATCATCATCATCATCATCAGTGGGCGGGCGAGTACGCTTAAAGAAACCCAGCTACACACACACACACACACACACACACACAGATAATACCTGAGATCAATATGACATTAGAATGACATCATCGTGACATCATTATGTTCCTGGTGCGACTGACTAACTGATCAATAGATGTATTGATTAGTTGACTGTTACCTTCCAGAAGATGAAACAGAGCACGCCCAGCAGGAGGAGTCCACAGATGATTGACAGGACGATGTAACCAATAGGAACGTTGTTCTCTCCATCAGGAGGACGCCACAACACGCTGAGGCGGGTCTACATACATACACACACACACACACACACACACACACACACACACACACACACACACACAGTCTGCAGGTCACTACAGGTCATGTCTTGTAAGACTTAAGGTTCTAAGAATGTGTGTGTGTGTGTGTGTGTACCTGTGTGTGTGTGTGTGTGTGTGTGTGTGTGTGTGTGTACCTGTGTGTGTGTGTGTACCTGTGTGTGTCCACTTGGCAGCAGCAGTGGTTGGACCTTGGATGATGTGTTGATGACATCATAGGAGGCGGAGGACGTGAGCTCATAGTTCAGGTAGGGAGTCTGTAGGAAAGAGTAGGATGTCATCATCACCTCATCATCATCATCATCATCATCATCATCATCACCATCAACTGTGTGTGTGTGTGTGTGTGTGTGTGTGTGTGTGTGAACATGTACCTGTGCGAGTGTGTGTGTCCACAGATGGGCTGAGATTCGAATGACAGCGCTGAAGCCCCGCCCCAACACAGTGACATCACACACAAACCTGACACACCCCGCCTCCCTGCTGCTGCAGTTCTACACACACACACACACACACACACACACACACACACACACACACACACACATCATCATCATCATCATCAGTATAACAGAGTGATGTGTCACAGTACAGAGTGCATCAGTGTATCAGTGTATTTACCAGATGGACTGTGGGACTGTGAGACTTTGTCTCCTCCTGCTGGACCGACTGAGAAACTACAGACACACTGGACCTGTTACCAACCAGCTGAGGACAGAGACAGACAGGTCAGAGAGACAGAGACAGACAGGTCAAAGAGACAGAGAAAGACAGGTCAGAGACAGAGACAGACAGGTCAAAGAGACAGAGACAGACAGGTCAGAGACAGAGACAGAGACAAGTCAAAGAGACAGAGACAGACAGGTCAAACAGACAGAGACAGACTGCTCAAACAGACAGAGACAGACAGGTCAAACAGACAGAGACACAGACAGACAGGTCAAAGAGACAGAGACAGAGACAAGTCAAAGAGACAGAGACAGACAGGTCAAAGAGACAGAGACAGACAGTTCAAACAGACAGAGACAGACAGGTCAAACAGACAGAGACAGAGACAGACAGGTCAAAGAGACAGAGACAGACAGGTCAGAAAGAAAGAGACAGACAGGTCAGAAAGAAAGAGAGAGACAGACAGGTCAAAGAGACAGAGACAGACAGGTCAGAGAGACAGAGACAGACAGGTCAAAGAGACAGAGACAGACAGGTCAAAGAGACAGAGACAGACAGTTCAAACAGACAGAGACAGACAGGTCAAACAGACAGAGACACAGACAGACAGGTCAAAGAGACAGAGACAGA